TCTCAAAGTGCCTTTCCTCTGAATTAAGTGTAATGGGAATCTAGATGCTGCTCAGAGAGGACATCTGCATTGCAGACATCTAAATGTGGGCAGATGGATAGTACTGTGACAGTAATGTGCTCTGTAGAAATTCAACTTATTTTATGCAAAAGGAGTTGGAGCCCTATCTTCAGAACAGAAAGAAAATCTCTGCTGTGCTTCCTGTTCCCATAAAAATTCTGGCACAAAGAGGCTGACTGCACATCATATCAATGTACTTGGCTCTGGACCGTGCCTTTATCCATTTATGACCTGGCCAGAATGTGCCTCAACTTTCCTTCTGCCGTTTATGCTCATGAATCCTTCTCGTGAACATTGAGTGGGAAGTAGAGTTAATAAATAATATAAAATCAGGGCATATAACTGAATTCAAGGAGGCTGAAAGTTTGTACATAGCCATGGGTTGTATGGAAGCCTCTGGAAAGAAATTTTAAACAGCATTTGCTCTATATCTGTAAGCACTGATTGCTCAAGAGGAAAAAATAATCATTCCAACAGCAATTTTCTGTTTGGTAGTGACCAATTCTGATGCATGTGACAGCTCAGCATCTTTCAGTCAGTCTTGGAAGATGACACTAATTATTAAAGTGTAATGACGAGGAAATAAAATATCAGGCAGATTTTTTTTTTTTTTTCTGAGGGGACAAAGGAAAAGAGAAAAAAAATACATAAATATGTGACTGATGAAAGACTGAAGAGTCAAGGAATCACAATGCCAATGGGTTAAAAAATTTACTGATAAACAGAGGCAGAAAACTAGACTGTCATTGCAATTTGAGACCGAAAACTACAGCAACCCAAAATGGATGCTACAGAATCAATTCATATTTGTTTAGAAGCAGATGCTCACAAGGATGGACAGTGCTCTGATCCTATAGCCATCATTAAAAATAAATGAAAAAAAAATAAAACCTAGCAAGAAATATCTAAGTCTTAATGATAGGAATTAAGACTTAGATATTATCTTAATATTTTAAGATATTAAGACTAAGACATAATGATAACAATTCAGCCAAGCAAAACTAGTGGAAGCTGCATGCTGTGACAATCAACAAGCAATGAAAAAAATCCAGAGAACTATGTCATTCTGCAAGAGCTTCCCAGTACATTCAGGAACGTCAATGAATATTTATTGAAGTTGAACTGGTTGCACAAAGTCCTCTGCTGCCAGGATTATTTGTTGTCAAGACTAGTGTTTTGGCCCTGAGCTCTCTTCCAGTGAGGCCTCTAGATAACTGCTGGGCACAGAAGACTTTCATCTGAATCATTAAAAGCAGAACACGGTCGCTCTTTTTGTTAGGTTCCTGAGAGCAGCAGTTCAGCTTAAACTACAGCTTAAAATCTAGTTCTCATGCATTCGATCACCGATCACTTCAGATTTCTCTTTGGAGTCAGGCTGTCGTTTCTGATCCTGCTCTGCACTGGAAGCTTCCCACTGATATGTGGCTGCTGCTGGGCTCTAGAACTGGACCCTCCACCATGTTGTGCTGCCCATATGCTCATCAGCTCTCCAGGAAAAGCTTCAAGCAATGGGAATAGGAAGGAAACAGCAAAATGTACAGACCAGATTAAACCAGAGATGGTGCCTACTAAATGGCTATGTGAAGTCCCACTGTAGATTGATGTCCTTTCTGCTTCAGATGGACTTTTCACAGGGGAATCTAGATGATTCCATCAGTTCAGCCATATGGAAACAAGAGGCACAGATAGTATATTGATGCCAAGTATTCAGAATTTCACTTTATATCATATTTGATGGGAGATAGGTATGAAACTTGTATTTCTAAGTGATATATCTTCATAGACTGGGGAAATTAGGGGAAACAACTTCAGAAGCAAAGATAATTTTATTGTGGACCATTCTTACTGCATTACTGGAAAGAGATGCTCTTCCCAGACATGCTGGACTCTAGGTAATCTTTGAACAACTCAAGTATTATTGTCCAGACAGCATAAATAATCACATGTTTAATTACTGTGATAAATGTAGTAATTATAATTTTAGAAATTCCTTCAGTTTCTTTTTCCTGAATGCAGCAGGATCTTGGGGAATATTTTCAGATTTGGAAGAATCTGAAACTAAAATTTTGTAGATTTATAAAAATAAAATAAATAGCAAATCATTAATTGGAAGAACAATTCAATTGCTTTGAACTCCACAATGTAGGTCTCAGCCCTTGCATCCCCCAGATAAATGTGTTTGTAACTGATTCACATATCAGAAAAGATTTGGAAGCAATAGAAATGCCATGTAAAGTTCTTTGGAAAAAAATAATGCTTTAATTTAAAATACTCATAGCTATCACATTTCCTGACTATTTATGATTGAAAGGTATGGGACATATTTCTCCTTCGAGCAAAGTGTGACAAGAGTATTAGATGTGAGCTCTGCTGACCATGTTTATATCAAAGGCAGTGGCCTACTTGAACCTTTGCTTTTTGTTCCCTTGTGATCATTTTTCCATTTGGCTTAGGTATTAAGTGAAGTGATTAATTCCTTTGACCTCCAATTTCACTATTAGTGGAACTTTGACAGAAGTGTGAAGAGAAATGTATAGCTTCTCAGTACTGGTACAGGTATTTTAATATCTCAGGTTTCCATTCCCCAAGAAAAAAATACATCCTATATTAATTTTTGATGGTTCATAGTGAATGTAACTACATAGTATCAATAAATCATGAAATACCTAATACTTCTCAAAATCCTTTGCAGAGGGTTATAAATTCATGTTTACTATTCAAGGCTTCAGTCTTAACCTTCTTGTTATACTTCTTTCCAGTGTAGATCTCCATAAAAATAATAAGCTTCATTGTCACTGCTGTGCACCTTCTTAGTATCTCCTGCTTGGTCAAGTGTGTATTCATCAAAGTTCTTATCTTGCTGTTATGTAATTTCTGTAATATTGTGATGGCTTCTGTCAGATAATGCAGCTGTCTTGAACTCCCACATATGAGAAAGAAATACAGCTATAGCCCTTTGCAGAATTCTTATAAAATGTTTCTAATTAGATACATATAATGGAGAGTGTCAGAGGGATTTGTTCACTGTCACAGACCTTTAGTGCTGAATTTCTTCAACAATTTGCTGAAGCACATAGAAAACAAGAGGCATTTATGACTATGTGTGATGCAGAGATAAGAGATGAGCTACATCTGAAGCCTCTGAAATAAGAAGCAATGGGAAGCAGAAACATCCTTTTATTTCAAGGCAACTAAGTGTTTATCCACCGAATTCAGGCATCAAGCACTTAAAACAACATTTCAAACAAAAAAAAGTTTAAAACATACTTTTAAAAGATATTTTTTACCTTATCTGTAGTCCAATAACAAGATTCTTGTTAAAAGAGTGTATCTAAATGGCAGATAAATGTGTCAGTTTTTCGGTGATAAACGTGGCAGTAAAAAAAGTTTTGTTTTTTTATGTAATAAGATTCTTTGCTAGCACAAGCAGTTCCAAAGTTCCTTGGTGTGTTCTGTTAAATGTCCTATGCACATTGAGCTTTTTAATTGCTGTTGCTTACATCCAATGAGACATGTTGTGCTATGAACAGCCGACCCAACGAAACCTGGTTTCCAGTGTCTCTCTCCCATATTTTTCCCCTTTCGTGTTGACTGATAAATGATGACCTTGTAAGCCTTTTTCTGTGTAAGGACTTAATAGTGTCTATTCCCATTTGTATGCCCATTGTCCTGAAACTTTTGTGCATAAAGTCTCTTCGAATCTTCTTGTATTCTTTTGTCCAATTAAAAAAAATTGAAAATTAAAATTTATCTGGAGCACAAAAATTTTTTAAAGGGAACAGAAATTGCACATTTCATATCTTTGAGAAACCAGCCTAAATGTAGTATTTAGAATTTTCATTATAAGAAATCCAGTTATCTTCATGTGTCAGAAGGAGTGTTTTTATTTTCTACATAAGAATTACAGAATTACAATAATTGGCAAAAACCAACAAGTTAAAATGCTACAAAGTAGGTTAACAAAGCCAAATTAAGATTACTGAATCTAAATTGATGTTTTCTTCTCTTTTTTGTAATTATAAAGCTTCATGCTACATGTGAAGAGGGGTGTACTGTGTCAAAGCTACAGGAAAATTAAATGCTTAATATGTTTAATATCTCCAAGTTTTGTTTAAAAAAAATTGAATTTGTTAAGATTTGGCAGCTGAACTAAGTTCCTATTTTCCAAAGTTTTATTAGCAGCCTTCATTCAAAGTGTGGATGTGGATTAGCTGGGTCATCTCTGGAGATATTCTGACCTCAACTGGATAAATTCCTGCTAAATTTGTGCTATGCTGGTTTTGCTTTGAGCAGAGATCAGACCAGGTGACCTCCAGAGAGTTCTCCTGACCTAAATAAATCTGTCATCTGTGACCAGAAAGAGCTGACCTATAAAGTATATGTAATCTGTATGCTTTAAATGACCTGCAATTACTTCTGTATATAGCAATTCAATCATTTATAGCTGTGTTAGCTTCCATTAAATCAAAACTATATTGCTTAAATCTGAAGTATTGAAAAAAATTCAGGGCTAGTTCAATTAGGCTGTTATTTAGTAAGTTATAGTTGAATAATCAGTTCTGCACTTCTAATATAATTAATACAATTATATAATAACTACTAATAATAACTAATATAATTGATATTACACACCTCTTTATTGTAGCATTACTCATTTGAAGAAAGAAAGAGATACAGATTAGTCTCAAATTAAAATGTCAGATTTATCAATTGTTTCCTGAGATGCAGGTTTTCTTCTGTGACTGAGTACTCACTAGGTCACTAGACACTGTGTCAGGGAAAGGAAAGAATGTATTTGTAATTCTCTCTTATGTGGAACATTTTTATTCATAGGCACCATACTTATAATCTGGTTTTGTCTTGGATTGAGCTAATGTAGTAAATTTAACTCAGTTGAGAGTGAAATTGTTAATTCCATGTTTCTCTCTTCTTCCCTACAGTATGCTGTCTGGCTGGTCCTTTGGGTTACATGGAACGTGTTTGTTATCTGCTTCTATTTGGAGGCTGGAGATCTTTCAAAGGTAATTTACCACTGGATACATTTAAGCCATCAACTCTTTGTTAACATGTCCCAGGCTGTGCTCTGTTTTACTCATTCTTTTAGTGTCACCTAAATGAATGTCATAGTATGATGTAAACTTGGAATATTCTGGGTATGTTAGAAACTTTTTAACCAGGCAGTAATGAGTGTATACATTCTGATGCCCACAATAATAATTGTATATATACTTTAAAAGGAAATTACCTGGTTTTGTCCCTCTCAGTAGCCCTGCAATGCAAATTCCACCCATTAATATAATTAATTAATTATATCATGAATACAAAACATTGCCGTCTCAGGGGCAAAGAAATATTTATTGTACCTTTTAGCTTGCTGTTACTTAACTGGGTTTCTTTCAGGGATGATAGTATAATAGTTGTAAAACAAGAGATCTTTCATTAAAATAAGATGTAAACTGAGGTGCCAGAACAGATTGTCATTTGGCTTCATCAGTGCTTTTGAAGTTGATGCTTCTGGTAGGAATTTTTCCATGAACACTTATACACAGTAAAAATCTATAGGAAAAATACATTTTCCTAAGAATGTCATATGTATAGAGTTTTATTGGCTGTGTGATAATGCATAAAGTGGCAGTTGGTAATGGCGTCATACCAACACTCCTACTTTCCAAGGTGTTCCCAGAAAGCTGGCAATTTGTGGGATAAAAGATTAGCAGTGGCAACAATTTTTTTTAGGATAATATGCTTCAGTTGAGTCTAGTTACTGCTAAATTATGCTCCCAGTGCTGTGAAGTGACCACCAAGGAGAATTCCTTGTGTCAAACACATCACATCGTCTTCTTGACTCAGATTTTAATTTTTTTACCTGATTATAGGGAGTTTAGCCCAACTATAAGTTACAGATGTAATCCTCTGATCCTTTGTGAGTTACTGATACCTTTTTATGCAGAAGGTTAAACACAGTTATAGGAAGAATTAATGAGGCAGAGATATTTCCTTGCATGTTGTTTCTTTCAAATTACCCCTAAAGTACAAAAACTATTAGAGACAAGGTATTTCATCCCCATGTATTCTGTTTGTCAAAGATGCTGACTTCAAAAGGATCAGAATTTCATTTCCTGAGGGTGCAAAGTGATTTTCTGCAGGTAAAACGTTACCCTCTCCTGGTTTTATACTTTCAGACAGGCCAAATCTCATTAAAAGCTTGCCAAAAACATAGGAAATAAAAGAACTTGCATATATTATCTTTTATTTGGTCAAAATTCTTTCTTTGTTGCCAGGAGAACTAAGATATATAACAAACCCAGCACCTGTTGTACAATTATTCTCAAGCCAATCCACCCTCTTTCCACCTGTTTGTTTCAGCCACCTGCATTCCTAAACTTGTAAATGTTGGGATGCTTATCTTGCCTCGGGAAGTGAATGGGGGTGAGAAAAATGGAGAAAGGAGAAGTAGCTGTTTGGGTATTGAGTATAAAAACAATGTAAAAACACTAGTAAGTGCAAGTTGGAAATAAAATGGGCCACAAGCAGTACCTAAACCTTGAAATTATTTTTTTATGAAGTATAGAAATCATCATCTAGAATGTTTCCCAAACACCCATAGGGTTCAGGTCTATATTTGAATGCAGTTTAATTTTTTATTTGGTCTGTAGAGGTATTGTTAGCTCCAGTGATATGATCTGCCTTGAAATACCCAGTAGAATATATTCTTTCCACTTCAATTGGCTTTCAGAACAGCAGAGTTGGTAAAGAGAGGGAGAAAAGGAAAAGTTCCGGGAAACATGGATTTTAAAAATTTGTAGAGATCAATTTATTATCTACAAAAGATCTAATTCACATGTGCAGCATCATTCTCCTCTCCTTTTCAACTCAAATGCTATGTCAAGACTTTCCCACATGGGAAATATCCTAGAAGATCTAGTGCTTGGAAATATGCATCTAATGCAAAGATACCAACTGTTCAGGTTGATATAACATACCCCTCCATTCTAGATCCTTCAGAGGCTCTGGCTGTTTTACACATGTAAGTATCTTACAGAATAGATAATTTCAAGTGTAATGTTTCTCAGGCATATTCATAAATCTTGCATTGAATCTTCTTTATTATTTATATTTTCATCTGGGAATAACTGCAATTTTAAATCTGTGGTGATAAACCTGGGTATTTTCTTTGTTTGAAATGGCGTGTAGAACCTTGAGGAAAGCTCTGTGTCTGAACTAGGGAATAAAAAACAAGCTTTAGGCAAGTACCACGGGGATGTCTCTGAGGTTGTAAACCATGAGAAAGGATCCTCTGCAACGTGGCTTTAAGAATTGATAGGTTAAAATTACAGCTTAATAATAGTTCTGATTGGTATATTTTATATGTAGTATTTATAGTTTGCTACAGAATAAAATAAAAATAAGGCCGGGTTTTTTTCCAAAGTTTTAAGAAAGCTTTTATTCAATGTGCACAACAATTGCACACATAGAATAAGATGTATATATTATCACCTGCTGAGAAAATTGAGAGGACATATTTAAATTGTTAATATACTTATTTTACTTGTGGGGGTGGAGGTCGTGACATTTTTACAGCTTCTCCTTATTACATTGAAACAGGTCTGTAGAGACTAAGAAATTTTCAGGACAATGAGATAAGTGTCTCTAAAGAGACTGAGGAGATTCAAGGACTATTTGTGAACATCCATGTAAATCTGTTTGCATTATACACCTTTAAAATCATAGATATCTTGTGGAAAATGGTGTCACACCAAGTATTTTCTGTCCTTGAGGCACAGTTATCTTTGCTGAAACTCTATCACAGCAAGATAGAATATTTATGGCTTTGTAAGAATGATTTGTAACAAAGAGGAAGTACAATCGCTTGTTCTTAACCTTGATTTTTATGTGGATCTGTGAATAAATGCCTAGAAAAGCCACTTCACAGACTTACTTTTCAGCATTATTCTTCAAAAATATTTAATTAGTCTGTGTGTTGTTTTGCCTACTGGTGACTGCCATACTCTCTATAAGTAGGATTTTAAGGTGTCAGGACTGGCAATATTTATTTTGGCCTGTGGCTAACCAAATATAGCACATGAAAAGCATAACCTCTTATCTTGAATGAGGCACATCTGAAGTACACTAGTGAAACAAAAAAAAAAAAAAAAAGGAAAACACAATAGAAAGCATTTCTGAAAAAAATGTAACATTCCTATGATTTTTTTAAACCCAGGAAAGTACACAAGGAGATAAATTCAGCTATCTCAGAACAACAGCAGAAAATACTCATGTGATTAAGAACAGCACTCTTGATTCAAGGCATTTGAAAGCTTCCCCTAATGATGTCTAATGATATCACAAGCAGAAAATAAGCAGAAAAAGAATTATCAACATCCCATTTTTAGTTTTGAAATGAGTAAGCACTTTTTGCTGAAAGAAACCCTTTTCTGAGGTTGCACTGGTGCCATCGCAAGCATGGGAGTGGAGACTCTGTTGCTGTCAGCTGCTGGAACTCAAGGCAGGGGCTGGGTTCGGAGTGCTGGACTGGGGGGACCAGATGGGCCTCAGGGTCCGAGCAGCCCTAGCTGCTCAGGGTCCCATCCTTGAGTCAGTACTTCTGGTTCTCTTTGCATTCAACTCTATTTGTGTGATCAGATCCAAGAATTCTCCTTTTACTGTCGCCTGGCTGAGCTCTGGAATCACTTTGCTGTATCCCCAGAGTACTATGTGAATATGACCAAGAGTACACGTCTGAAAAGCTCATTTTAAATGTCAAAGTTGACTTAGTTTCTACTTTTATGGCATTCTTGATGTCTTCCTTATTTACAGAAAAAAACGTACGTTTACTATATTAAATCATTATTAGATTGTACTTATATATTGTTACACAAAAATTAGATGTTTGAAAGTCAAACAGTCTGATATCAAGAAATGCTAGAATTAAGATTGCTTAAATAAGCATGATTGAGCTCTCTTCTACATTCACTTTTACATACTATTAATGATGAAGTCAGAACTGTATGTTTTTCTTTAATCTCTGTACCACATGGCCTATTTCAGAGATGAAGTTTTGGCAATGGAGGCTTCCATACTGCATCTTACTCAGTATACTGCAGCTGTCAGAAGAAGCTTATTAACAATATGAATGTAAATGCTGTATTTCAGTTCTGATCTGAAAACATGTAGAATAAGAATATGAAAGGTTAGGTACAGAACTCTGGCAACTAAGATCTCTAAGCACAGAAGTGATATTTTGTACGTAGATCACTGGGTGTAGTCAAACTGTGATTCCTCATTATTCATTATACAGGTTCAAGCAACTGTTCTTAGTAAAAAGGAAAAAGAAAAGGAATTTCTATTTGCATTCAAATCATGTTACTTCCTTTCCTATATTGCCCTGTACTGCAACAGAAGGAACTTGAAAGAAGAAGTTTAAAATATGCACTTATTTAAAATTGAAATTGTTAAATATAATGCAAAGAACTGAATTTTCTGTAGTTACTAAAATGCAAACATAAAGGAAAATATGTAATTAGGTTGTTTTCTGCTAGAAGTTTTAAGGGAAATTAAAGGTTTCTGAACACTTTCTCTCCTACCCACCACAAATAACTGGAAATATAAGATAACTTAGACTTACAAAATCACAGACTTATTCATGCTGGAAGAGCCCTCTCAAGGTCACTTAATCCGGTCTCCTGCTCAGAGCAGTACCAACTTAAAAGTTCTGTCATGGGACCCAAAGTTTTAGCCAGTCGAGTTTTAGAAGTCTTCAAGGACAGATGTTTCATAACTTCTCTATTTCTGAACCCTCGTCATTGTAAAAAATGTTCTCCTGATATGCAGCTGAAATTGCCATTGATGCAATCTGTGGCATTGCCTCTTGTTCAAGAACACTGTGTGCTCCTGAGAAGAGTCATGCTCCACCTTTTCTAGAATTCCCTTTAGGCTTTTAAGTGAAGCCAAGTATTTAGGTTTTCATTTGTTATTTCTGTACTTGACTTCCTATTTTCTAACCCCAAGTAGTTTGTTGCAC